ATCGGAACCCCCACTAATCAAATACGCTTCTCTGGAAGAAAGCAACGATCTTACGTGCAGCTTCTGTGCCAACCAGTGGATCCAGCTGCTCGACATCCATGTTGGCGATATCACTAATATTGTCCGTTTCGATGATCAGCCGCTCTAGAGCTTGGGGTGTAACACCCGGAACAGCTCGCAACATGTCCTGTGGAAGAAGATTGAAGGTACGGTGCTCAATCCCAGCGGCAGCCATGACGTCGGCAGAGCCAGACGAATTAGATATATCAATATCAAGGCCGAGCTGAACTGCACGGAGTGGGTCCGGCTCCTGGGCGTTCTTTTTAAGCTCTGCAAAAATCTCAGCTGTCTGGTAAGGGGATGAAGACCAGACGATCTTTAGGCGTGGGAAGGCGAGAGTGAGGAGCACAAGTAAATGCTGAGCGGACTTTGGATTAGACGGATTGGCAAGCGAGCTGCTGCTAGTGCTGGTTGCAGTGCCAGAAGATGAGAAACCGTAGTCTGTCATAAACGTGGGCCCTGTTGGAACGGAGGCGAAAGCATCAAAAGTGAAAGATTTGTTTTGATCGAACTCGATCAATAGTAACGGGCTCTTGTAATGCTGCAACATGGTCTCGGCCTGGTTGTAGAGGCGGCCGTTCTTGAGCGAGCTTATGAGATCACGGATCGATTTCCTTTCGACACAAATGTCTGGAGTGAGAATGTAGTCACCCACAGTGAGCTGACAGGGAATCACAATCATGTTGTTTCCATGTAATAGAGATGGTAGAGCACTTCGGAATTCCCGCACATCAACTACAACCCGAGGAGGGGATGCTGTAGCTGCCAGTCGTCCTCCTCCAGCAATACGAGTGTTGACTGTCCGGAGGAATTGCTCCTGGGGGTCTTCAGCCTTTTTGTCATGCGTCAAGGTGACTGCCATGTTCTGAAAATCATGTTAGCTAGTAGTTTGAGGTGTGTAGCTGGGTAGCTTACCCCCTTCTCTTTGATCAGCTTTGTGAATGAGTCTTTCTCTCGTCGGACAGCACTCAGATACCGCTGTTCCTCGACAGAGCCACCATAATACATGAAATAAACCTTCACGTTTCGCCCCGAATGGGAACTGCGATATACCTCAACCCTTCGAATGAATGCGGGGTCGGGTTCGTACATGATAATGTATCGCGGACGTGCCTCCTCAAGTATGTGCTCATCCATGTCACCGTCGTAAGGGTGTATCATGACCAGATCGTTCATATCATACAATTCGTAGAAATCTTCCATATCCTCTAGTTCGTCGACAATAACCTCCTCTTTCTGCATTTCTTCCACTTCGGTAGGTTGAATCTCGCCTAGCAAGCTGACGACCTGACCGGGCAATTCGACGTCGGTTTGGACACTGCTATTTGGCACACGACCTGCAGCAGAGGTGACCGCGCCGCCGCCACGTACTCGACGACGTTTGTTTGGGGGAGGCCGTCCTTGATGCGCACCCTGGGCCGCTGATGACTCAGAAGGATTTCCAGATCTTTCACCCTGTACTGACTGGGACAAATTTTTGTTGATATTTGAGAGAGACCTCTTCCAATTGAGGTAGTCTCGCAGCCGACGCCGCATCATAAGCTCCGCAGAAGGCTTGTCCTCGCTAGGATCATCATCTTTGGATTCTGACCCTTGAGCAATTTTGGAGTGCATAGTGCCAATATACTCGCGAAGCTGGCGGCATATTCGTTGATCACTACACATAATCAATATGGTGCTATTTGATTGATCCATTCTTGCAGGATGTAGGTAAGCATCGTGTTCGATTTCGGCAAGGACATCTGATAGGACACTCCACTTTGGCAGTTCCTCTAGAGCCGGGTTCAACTCAGAAGAAAATGTAGTCGAAGATGAAAGGCGGGTTAGTTCGTTGTTCAATTTGCCTTCGTAGACTCGTGATTTGGCGGTCTGGAAAAGAACATGGGCAGCATCGAGGAAAAGCCACGGAGAGTAATTATGTCTGTTGGAGCCGGGAGGCGGAGCATGCGCAGACACGATAGTATCGAGGTACTTGACAAAAGATACCGCATCGTAGCTGAGTAAAGCACTGCAGAGCTGTCAGTATAAATAAACAGAAAGACATTTGGGACACACACTGAAGGACTTCTCGTAGGTTTGTCAAATCACTGACAATTTGTCTTGTCCTGAAGCTCACACGATGCCAGATTGGGTCTAGTTGACGTCTGATAATCATATCAAAATTCCTGTGCAAAGCGCTGTCCAACGTCCACTCTTCCATATCCAGCCCAGTGTTGCTTTTCCTGAGCTCAGTGATACTGATCTCTACGCATTCCAGAACAGCATTCTGAATTTCCCTCATTTTGTCGCTCATAGGAACTTCCAACTCGATCACTTCTGCCTTGCGATTTCCTTCTAGGGACTCAGCGACAGAAACATGGAATCTAGGCCACAGTGATGCCTTGCGTAGGAAAAGGTTGCGCAGCATATTAGCCAACGGGGCAAAGCCCATAGTAAATGGTTCTGGGGAGTCCGAGAATGCTTTCAAGAAGCCACGCTTGTTCGATTGCCGGTAGACCCGGACAATAAAAGCTTCGAGGGATGTCGCCAAGACCTTATCAGCATGTAAAATGACCATCCCAGTGACCTTCTCGGGATCAAGAAGTTCTAGAAAGATCAACGAGTGTCTTGAGCCATTATACTAAAACATACATACTCGATAACAAGTCCACAACCAATATTCTGGATGTCACACTCAGAATACCTCCTTCGCTATACATTCTCTCTCTGGCAATTTGTCAATACGCCGCAGTCGACATGGTGGAGACGAGAAACCCACCGCATCGGCACCGTAGCTTTCTCGGTATTGATCACTTTCAACCCCCTAGCAAGAGGAGACTTGCTGGTAGCATAATGTTCCGCCAATGCTGGTTTGAGAATCCATCAGCTTCTAATACGAGCGTCCGATTTAGGATGTACACCAATCCACATACCCTCTCCGATCCATTCATTCTCGCGTTCATCTGCACCCACCACCAGGACAAGATTGTTTCCCGCCGCATCGTAGAAATGGAGGAGATTTGTTATTAGGTGTAGAAGCCCCAGGCCTCGTGCAAGGATGACTAGCTCATCTTCGGCGCGTAGTTCGGTGAAGAGCTCCTGCTGGTATTGCTTAATGGGGGTTAGTGGTAAGCCTATTCCGAGATGGTGGAACACATACCAGTGGTAGAGACAGCTTCACCGGCACATTGGACCGTTCTGGAGGCATTGGGAGCACTTCCTAACGCGTTGAGGAGTGAGGTGCCCAGTCAATGAGATGTCGCGTGATCACGTGTACGAAGATGTATGACGTAATAAATCGATTAACCCGGCCTCAAGAGATTCTTGGTTGGGAGTAGATGCAGCCTCCAAAGAAAAGAAGCTGAATTCCAAAAAAGGACATTTTTCTATTTTGTGTCTGCTTTGTTTTATAATTATTAGGCAGCTAGGTACTCTCCGTATTGTACGTATTCTAGACCTAGTTTGGGTTATGACCCGCTATAGACATACTCGACTTGGGCAATTGCCTGGAATGGCGGGAACTGCTATTAAACGAAATACAGATAGGTAAAAAATTGTTGATCAATGGCCTCTCAGTTGGACGACTTGTTCAGTTCCTTCGCACGTGCTTCGAGCTCCTCTTTCGAAGCCTTGGGAGGCATATCTACAAAGTGTCAGTCGTGGGCCTGTGTAGGTCTGGTAGCCAACTTACTGTCTGGAATCTGAGGTCCCTTCGATAAGAAGTCCGCTGCAGTCGCTTTCTGGGGCTGTTGCCCTGGCTTATCCTCAGCCTTATTGCCTCCATTTTGGGACGCAGATGGGAAGTCCGACGACTCGGGGATGACCGGCATTTTGAAGATATAGAAGAGTTTCTTGTTGCGTTGTCACTAGCCAGTACCTTATTTGCTGGTAGATAGATGAAATAAATCTGGTGATTTGTTGATGGTGAGTGAGAGAAATAGGTCTCGAAGGTTGGTTGGATGTCTGATTTATAGATCCTTAGCGGGATGACGTCGGTGGTCAGATTGCAACAAATAGCATGATACAAGTTAGAAGTTGCCTAAACATCGCTTTTCCATAAAGAACCTTGGAAACAAGAACAAAATGCAATTGTATCTCTAATTTTTTTTGGTTATTTTTAGTAGGTACTACAGGGTGCAAGGAGCACAACTTTGGGGTATGTCGTAGAGTAGCTATGATTTGATTAAAATGCTAGTCATGATATTAATATCATGGATTTACAAGCACGAGGCAATGGCTTTTGCCTTAAGTAAATACTAGCTTTTTACCTAGTTGCGACAATGATCCATACATACATAGTCAATATAGGTATGTAAGTATTACTAGTCGAAAAAATACATATTCTTCTTAACACATTTATATATTTACCTAATGATCCATGGTCACATACACCACATAGTCTAGAAATGAAGTGAGGTTATCTTTGAATAGTTCCTTGTATGAAAGACATAGCACACACTGAAATGGGCACGATAAACCGCATTTCGCAATCTCATCACTTGTGAAGAGCATGTCAACAATATTCTGTTAATTTGTATTTTCAGGATGGTTGATTCCGGATTTAAGATATCAAAATATCCAACAGGAAAAATCCCTAAGTACATATGTTTGTAGTGACCACTTTGAATAGTACAAGAAATGTACCACGTGCCGGTATGGCGGTGCTGCGGTAGGCCTAGGTCACTCCGGTGTATATTGGGTCCGCCCCGCCTACGTCTTCTCACCTCCGGTTCATCCTCTCCAACTCTCAAGGCAACCGCCGGTCGGCTCCTCTCTATAACACCTCGGCCTTCGAATCTAATCAATTGAGAAAGAAACCCTGTACCTTCCACCACTACCGTATCAGTCGGTGTGTTGAGGGCGCCAGTTCATCCTTCGAAGTCACCTGCACGGCTGCAATGTGTGCTCTACTCACGTAACCACCCTTCGAACTATCACCTACCTTTCCCCTCTCCATTTTGTGGGGAAACACCTCGATTCACCATGCCCTCCATTCTCAGTGACGCCGACAAGGAAACTGTTAAGCGGAATGTCCCCAAACCCGCCAACAAGATCCTCGCCGTAGCTGTCGCGCGACTCTACGTCGCCTACCCGGATGGACAGAAATGGACATATACCGGAATTCAAGGGGCTGTTGTCCTCTGCAATGACCTTGTGGGAAGGACTTTTTGGCTTAAAATAGTCGATGTCTCGGTAGGCTGTCCACACTGGTGTTGGAGATAAGAGTAAAAGTGCTGACAATGCTTTATGCAGCCCGCTGGTAGGGGTGTGATCTGGGATCAGGAGATCTATGACAACTTCGCTTACAACCAGGACCGAACCTTCTTTCATACATTCGAGCTCGAAGCCTGCCCCGCCGGCCTGTCCTTTGTCGACGAGAAGGAGGCCAAGACCTTTATCAAGAAGGTGCATGAGCGGGAGAAACATGCAAGTAAAGAGACCACCAAGACTCCTTTCACATCTACTCGAGGCCAGGGACCTGCTCCTGTTACCAATGGGAAAGTAGGACGGTCTTTGTTTGGCAGCTTGTTGCATCGATCGAACCCGGCTCCGAGTACACCAGCACCGACAGCCCCTGCGCCTTCGATACAGGTTGCTCCTCCTCCGATGTTGTCCCCAAGCCCGCCGCCAGCTAAGCCAGATTTACCATTTGATACGAGTGACCCCTCTTGGAAAGGACTGCTAGATGAGCTTAAGGGGATGGGAATTACCGAAGACCAAATTGCCGAGAATTCTGATTTCATCAAAGCTTGGATTGACCAGAAACAGGCAGCGGCGGCCGAGTCTGCTCCTGCTGAGGATCATAATAAGCCAAAGGCTGCCCCTCCACCGCCACCTTCTGCACCTCCCGCTCCGAGAGTAACCTCGATCAGTCCCCAAGACACGGGTTCCAGCTCGACAAGCAGACGGGGACCGCCGCCGCCGCCGCCGTCACGGAAAACACGTTCTGAAGCACCAGAAGAATCGGTTTCCCTCCCCCCTCGTGAGCCATCCCCGCCTGCGCGACGATTCAATGCGCCGCCTCCATTTGCAGACGCAGGGAAATTCGCAGAGCCCGCTGGCCCTGTACCTCCTCGGCGTCCACGCGCAATTTCGAACGTCAATGCTGGGCCTCCACCGCCCCCACGACCACCAAAGACACCGATGGACGATAGCCAATATAATCAATCGAGTCAATCTCGATTTGGGGTACCACCGCCTTTCTCTGGTGACCGCAAGGTGTCTGCGCCACCGGCACCCCCCAGCCGTAGCCCTGCACCAGGTGGCCCTCCCCCTCCGCCGCCTCGCACAGCAAGCCCAGCAGCACCACCCCAACTGCCCCCCAAAGTGCCGTCCATGACCACTGCAACGGGACCTCCTCCTCCACCCGCCAGAGGCCCTATTTCACCCCCACTTCCACCCCCACCAGCGCCTCGACCTGTGCCAGCTGCACCGTCTTCTCCTGCGGCAGCTCCTCCCCCTCCTCCTCCACCAAGAGGACCAGTTTCGCCTCCCCCTGCCCCGCCCTCGGCACCTACGTATTCTCCTAGCATTCCTCCTCCACCGCCTCCGCCGCCTAGCTCTGCAGCACCCGGTGGCCCCCCACCCCCTCCGCCTCCGGGCCGTGGTGGCCCCTCAATGCCTCCCCCTCCCCCTCCGGCGCCTGTTTCGGGGGCACCAGGTGGACCGCCACCGCCACCTCCACCACCTGGGGCACCTGGAGGTGGTGCTCCTCCTCCACCTCCACCCCCTGGTGGTGCTGCGCCACCATTGCCAAAGCCAACTGGTGGGCACACCGATCTGCTAGCGTCCATTCGAGCCTCCGGTGGCCATGGAGGCGGAGGCTTGCGCAAGGTCAAGGATACGGAAAAGAAAGATCGAAGTCAAGCTATGGTACCCGGTGGTGCTAACGAGTCGTCGGCTACAAGCCCCAATGCAGGAGGAGCCCCGCAAGGTGGTTTGGCCGGCGCATTGCAAGATGCTCTCAACAAGCGAAAACAGAGAGTCAGTGGAAGTGGTATGTCAATTCCAACACGTAAACGCGGATCTGTGTGCTAACTATGTTGGTAGATGACGAGAAAGACAACGACGACGATTGGTGAGCGGTTAGTTTTCGGTGGGATTGTTCAAGTATTTCAAGATACCAATGGCTTTTGCGCATTCTTGCGAGCATTGAGCATTCTGTTTCTTGGTCCAGCGTTTTGCCTAAAAGTTTGGTTTCAAGTGTCAACAAAAGAGGGGCAATGCACTTTGTATATAGCTTTCAATGGTAGATGCAGTGGATGTGAGAGATAGTCCCAGTATGAGGAAGTAGATATGTCTTTTTATTCTCTTTCTTTTAGTCCAATCTTCTAATGCTATGGCCAAGTGGAGTTTAGCTTACACCGCCATAAATGATAGGCCCATTTACCAGGGCTGCGCTTAACTTTTACTATCATCTCCAAGACTACCTACAAAGTAAAGCCTGGTCCATCTTTTGTCCATCTCCTGTATCATAGTCACTAATTTCGAATTTTGCTTCAAAAAATCCCTTTTCATCTGAGATGAAGCCTGATCCTCCATCTCTTGGGTCTTTGCCTGTTGAAATTCTGTGCTCTATCTTCCGTCTCTTGGACCCCATTGGCCTCATATCCACCAGCCAAACCAACTCCAAATTCCGCACAGTGGTTCAACCACAGCGAGCTCATCTACTGGAGAGATTGCTTGAACTTGAATGCCAAGAAGAAATCGGAGGAGTCACGCCCGTCTTTCGATCGAGGGACAACCATCTTGACCCTGACTTCACGTCCAAAGAATGGTATTATGCGCGTTGGGCATGTGGTGTCTGTCTCCATATGCTTCCACATACAGCCTTTGACAACCATTATATTCTACGACTGCAGTACCGCAAGCCATTGCCAGGATCTGCAGCAGCGAGTTCTTACACGAGCTGGGAGCCAACAAGAGAAGGGAAACCCCGCAAACAGTACCATCCACACAAACAATCCAACTCCAAGGATGAGGACCGGAAAATACGGCGTCGATATTATCTCGCCTCCAAGTGCAATACATTAAGATCGAACCATCCCGTGCACGATAGGGCTGCAAGATTGGCCAGCTTCCAGGACAGCGGGATGATCACATTCCAAGGCTTTAGTCTGGATGAATACTGTAGTATTACACAAGAGGAAGAGCAGGTTCTTCTAGACCACGAAGCACGCCTCATTGAGAGAGAGCGCTGCGGCTTCAAGCGGCACCTGCGCAAGTGCAACGAATGTCGTTTCCGGCGTGGTGAACTTTCATCTATTGTGCAGCGAGGCACAGACAAGGTGCCTATAGTGCCGAGCCGTCGCCTACCATTTTCCAGTGCCTTGGACCGATCTTTCCCAGGTTTTTCTGCCATAATGAGAAGAAGTGTGAGCCCGACCGCGAATGCCCCAGTTCAATGCGTGTACCGCAATGACGTTTTTTATTCTCTCTGGACTATGTATATGTTGCGATGCCCTGGATGTTCGCGCTGGCAGGAAATGCGCGCGTTTCGTCTGGGTGCCACTTTCAATCACTGGATACCTACCACCAACCCTGCCTCGGACTTCAAAAACTGGGACGAAACCAAAATCACCGGGAGGTTCATTGATGGTTTGTCCTGTAACCATTGTTTTGCTAGATATCAGGGGCGCGAAAAGCTTCGTGAAATACTTGTGAGATGGTTGGACTGCTGCTTGGATAACGAGCGACGGCGGCTAGGATATCTGCTTTTGGGTGGCTGGGAGAGGTTGTTAAGACGATACCAGCGACTTGAGCAGGTAAGAGACATCATTGAGGTTAGAAATGTCGTTTTGGGCATTCAGCCTGTCGTTGCAAAGGTTCAGAAAGATCATGATTATCTCAGAATTGGCCTCGCCGATATCTTGACGTTGAGGCGGGGCTTTCATGAGTGGGTTACCGTGTGGGAGAACTTAGACTCCGAAACTCGAAGCCATTTGGAACACAACCCTTGGGATGAAATATGGTTTCACAACAATGAGGTGATTGAGGCACACTTGATTTGGGTGATTCAATGCAAAAGGGAAATAATGGAGAAGGACAAGGATGATGACCTGGTTGGCTGGGCACTGAGCCGACAAGGAAATGCTTTAACTTAAGCAGTTGGTAGCATTTCAATACGTAGATAGAATTGGTATTTCAAATCACAGAGTACAAGACATTTGAGTGTTTTTATATTGATTGTATACTCCGTTACATCCTGATTTATCGGGTCAACATTGTTCCGGGCAACGGAAAAAAGCGTATCTGATCTGATCGGGAGAACTTGCATACAGCTGCGTCGATAATCCAGAGACATGCTGTCTCCGAGGCTGTCTGCGCCTTCTGCCTCTTTATTGCGCTTTCTACGATCACAGTCTGGGTTCTCTGCCGCACTATCAGCATGCGCTTATCCGAAGCGTCTTGCCAGCCGCAATAAAGGCTTCTCGACAGGACCATCCCCGAAACTCTCGAGCTGGACGCGTCTCGATGTTCCCCATGGCCCCGCAACACTTGATACCACGATTTCCAGCAATAAACATGGGAAACCGAACCCCACTAGAGCAACAGTGTTCCCGGCATTGGTGCCCAAGCAGATGAATTTCTCGCGTCATGCGTCAACCAAAAGCCGACCCTTTCTCCGACGGCTTTTCGATCTCAAGCGGAATAAAGCCTGCGACTACAAGAATCAGGGCCCGACTAACCCTGGACTTATGGACGAAGGGACGGAGGGGATGTTTAATATTGGCCGCAGCCTATCAGCTAAGGCGTCAAATGAACTGCGAATTCGATGTACGGAGTTTGATATCAATGGAGACGTCACCCTCGTGAACGGAGAGTTCCGGAAGCAGGAGCTGATTGCCAAGGTTGGTAAAGAGGACTCGAGTTTGAGGGTTTAACATTTGCTAACAGATGAATCACGATACAGTATGGCCTTCTTCCTCGAGATCTACGCAAGATTGATTCGTCGACTCTCCCTCATATCCTAGTGCGACCTAGGGCAATCCTCATAAATCTCTTGCATTTGCGAGTGCTCATTAAAGCGGATCGGGTACTCGTATTCGACGCATACGGATCAACAGACTCATACATGCAATCGCTGTTTATCTACGATCTAGAAGGAAAGCTTCGCCAGAGACAATCCCAGGGTGCCGCTCAGCCTAGTCAATCACTGCCGTACGAGTTTCGCGCGCTGGAAGCCGTTCTCATTAGTGTCACGAGTGGACTGGAGGAGGAGTTTAATGGAGTGAGAGATCCCGTCGTGCGAGTTCTTCGTGCGCTCGAGGAGGACATTGACCGAGATAAGCTCCGGCACCTCTTGATCTACTCCAAGAAACTAGGTACATTTGAGCAGAAAGCTCGCCTGGTACGAGATGCCATTGATGATCTGCTGGAGGCCGATGATGACTTGGCAGCGATGTACTTATCTGAGAGATCAGTCGGAAAAGAGCGAGAAGAGGATGACCATCAAGAAGTGGAAATGCTTCTGGAGTCATACCACAAAGTGTGCGATGAGATTGTTCAGGCCAGTGGCAATTTGGTGACGAATATTCGCAATACGGAAGAAGTGTAAGTTTGATCGTTCATTATATGCGAAAGGCACCTCTAACACAACTCAGAGTCAAAGCTATTCTCGACGCCAACCGCAACTCGCTCATGCTCATGGATCTCAAATTTAGCATTGGGACACTCGGCCTCGCAACAGGGACATTATTCTCTGCTCTCTACGGCATGAACTTGAAGAATTTCATTGAAGAATCAGACTTTGGTTTCGGAGGTGTCTCCGTGGTCTGCTTTGCTCTGACTGGGCTAGTTTGTGTCTACGGCCTCTCCAAACTGCGCAAGCTTCAACGGGTCCGCATGTGGGGTGAATCCGGCGTAGGAGGCTCTACTTTTGCCCCCCTGTCCCCAAAGCGCAGCGCACTCGGTGGGAATCGCAATAACTGGCGCGCCGATTCAATCGAACCGGTCTGGGGCAGTCTCCCAGGGGAAGGCCGATCTGAGCGCATGAGACGCCTCAAAGAGAATTCAGCTATGGCTGCCGCACAAGCTGCATCGAGAAACTTAAAATCGACATCTGCCAATTCCCAGGCTGCTATGCAGGCATCAGCTACGGCTTCTAAAAATGCTCGTGCGGGAAATGGCAACGGTGATGGAAAAGAGACCGTTTGCCCTGAAGGTTCAACCTAATGCATGATGCGCAGTGATTAAAGTATGCCTGACGGTTTGATTGCCTCAATGAGAGCCTGGGCGTTTTGATTTGGATCTTCAACTAATAGCAACGGAGTTGGAGAGGTCTGTAACATTATTGTACATTAACAAACTCCTTTCTCTATCCCCCCACTCTATAGTTTATATTTTGTCTATGAATAGATCTAGAGCATATCTGATGAAATATCAATACGATTCGTCTCGCTATGTGAATTATCATTTTCCTTCAAAAGGACCGTCCTATCTCATTGGAGCCATGTAGTAGTTGCTGATCTCCCTGGTAATCTTTAACCTATAAAGATTTTCATGCATGCCCTATCAACACCCATGTGCTTAGCCCCCGCGTACATGATTCGGAGCCAAAAGATAGGCCTTTTAGTGTTAAACACCACGATTTTGTGCCAGTGGGTTTTTAGAACCTCGATGTGGTCTTCCAGCCTATCATTAGTCCTTTATCGTCAACCTATGAATGCTATTGACAGATGGTTAGTTTTATTTGGGTATCTTTATCTAACTTGGTGCATTGTCCCCTGTCCCCGGTGAAGGCTCTTCGTCCGTTCAACCCAGAGCTTAGCAGCTACCTGAATGCCACCATCCTTGGAGCATTCACGCTCAACCACTTCTATGATATTCTTCAAGACTGCATCCCCTGGGTCTCGGTTTGTTAGAGAATCCGTAGAACCCGAGTTCTTTAGCCACTCCCTTGTGACCTGCTGTCGACCTCCAATCAACGCCATGTTTATCGCACCAGGAGTACGTAACCATGCCTTCTCAACACTGAACCCGATTTCCTCGGCAATGCTCACTGTTTTTGCAGCGAGAGATCCAATCATTGAATTCAGAAACCCGCTCTCGGTCTTCTCTTCGATCTTGATCGCACGAAGTGCCCTCAAATCCCCAGACGCCGGCTGTAGATTCTGCTCCATGGCATCATCAACTTTCCATGCGGCAGTATTTCCATTCGCACTCTTCTGTATTGGAGCGCCCTCTTTTGGCGGAGGATAGCGATACGAAGAACCAGCAAGTGAACGAGAACAGCACGGGACCACAAAGAATGGCAATGGCGACGAGGGACTTG